CTCAGCAGCCTATTTAGAAGGCGATAATAAAGATTTGTATTAAAATGCGTGAAAATGTTGATTTATTGCTTGTCAGTCCAGGTCAAATTAGATTATTAGTTTTTTTAAGATTATCACCACTCTAAATAAGGCAATTTTGCTTATTTTTATGCCCGGTATGTAGGAAAATAAGTCTCATACTCAAAACTCTATACCTTTCAAAAAATAATCTTTAAAATGTTTCTTAGAGCTTTGCTAGATGCTTTACTGATTTTGATGTTTCGCGATAAATAGAGGGTCTTACAAGCTTTAAGTTCTGGCAGGAGTTCCTAAGAAGCTTTTTCAAAGCAAAGTTGCACTCGCGTGGTTTGATGTATATAGCTAATAGAAGCGTATCCGTTATTAAATAAAATTTGTATTGATTGAATTTTTGCACTATTTTTTCACTCTAGCCACTGCATCACTACAGTTGCAAAGCCACTGTCATTCTGACACAACAATAATTGTATCATTTCATAAATGTAATTTCATTCAATAGAGTTAATTACCTTAACTACAACAATGCAATTAATTAAATTCATAAAATTTAATTGAAATGTTGATTAATGGAAGCAATTTGCCGCTCAAACCAAAGAAAAAACATTTTTTGTTTTATTATAAATTGTTTTTGCACATTTCTTTACGGCATATGTCTATAGGTGTATATAATACGAAAGCTTTCACTCACTCAACAAAAAACTGCCAGCATATTTATGAAAGCGAGTTCATTAAAGTGACATAAACCTAACCACAAATAATACACTCCTCCAACCGCCTTCCTTTGCACGGATGATGCAACTTTAAATAGTTTTCGCCACCTACAAAACATTCAGCGTCGAAACTTTTAACGGAATTGAGCATATCAATTGTGGCATTGATGGCCACTTAAGGATGATTGAGAATCAGAAGGAGGACAACGATAAGTGGCCATAAAATTACCTCAATTACAATAACAATAGAAAACAGCATACAAAACACATACAAGTTTATGACAACTGGAACTGTAATAAGTCAAATGAAAGCGAAGAACCGTTCAAGTGTCAAAACTGCTGTGGAAAACTGGGCGGAGAGCAAACGCAATGTTAAATTACGAGCGAAATCGCGGACACTACTTCAAGGAAAGACGAAATTGCTCCGTGCAAAGAAAGGAAAGTAAAAGTGTGAAATAAAATTTATATCACACATTTGCTTCAGCGATTTTATACGAGGTGTGTTCAAAGGAAAAGTTGAATTTTGATTTTTCGGGGACTGTGGCAGCGAAGTATGTTCCGAAATTGCTAAATTTTGAACAAAAGCAATGTCGCATTAGTATTGCTCCGGAGGCCAAACACAAAAGAAATTTGGCTCCCTGCGACTTTTTCCTATTTCCAAAACTGAAGAAACTAATGAAAAGAAAGCGTTTTGCCACAATTGATGAAATCAAGTTAGAAACGAAGAAAGACCTGATGGCCATACCGAAAAGAGCATTTCAAAAGTGCTTCGAGGATTGGAAAAAACGTTGGCACAAGTATATTATATCCAAAAGGGATTACTTCGAAGGGGACAAAATAGATATTGATGAATAAATTCACATTTCCTTTGAACATACCTCGTAAGTACCATATAAACATTTACATTTATATGAAATACATACATATGTAAACACAAAAGCATAAAATAAAGTGATAAGCAGCTTTTGTTCATATTTTTACGTGTAGTAAGCGAAAAGGTTATTACCGTTAATCAATTTAAAGGTTTATTGCCAAGAATAAATATGGACGTGTCAAAAAGGCAGCATATTTCAATAATCCACACTCAAACATAATAAAAAAGATTTATATAAAGCAACTAGTCAAAGTACTTTCGATTTCTCTCATTTGGAGGCGCGAGAGGCAGTCCTACCAAAAATCAGCATATTCTTACAGCTGGCAATCGCTGACATTTTCTGCACATTTAATTGGTCATAAGTCATATCCGGCCAGCGACGACATACCTACAACTGCAGATAAAAGCTACACAACAACAAAATTATTATAATTCATTCGTAATCTTTATGCCGGCTATAAACCACAGCGTTAGTAAAATCGCATGTAACAAAATCAAAATTTGTACACTCTCAAATATTTATCAAGTAAATATGTATATATGTTCCTGTAAAGCTTTTAGGCCAGTGTTCTTTGTGACAAATCTTTTTCTGAAGTTGTTTATGCTAATTTTAGTTCCTTCTTATTAAAGGAGCTTATAATAAGGAGGGAAATACTGGTAATAAAATATTTCACGAAGGAGATTTTTAACGCCTTAATAAAACAGTATGAGTGCCGCCATTACAAACACGCACATACATACTTACCATATAAATATATATGTATATATATATATATATATATATATATCTAAGTTTAAAATGTAATCTTGTGTACAACAATAAAGAAATGGATGCGAGACTCGTTGCGAAACTTTCCCAATTCATACGATTTTTTAAAGAACTCAATCAAAAGTAAACTCTATTTTTTATAGAGCTTAGGAAGTTTTCTTTGAAAATAACGGTTGATATAAACGAAAACATTTATTATTTTACTACTCAACCAACTGTCATTTACAGTCGGAAATTTCATGCATATGTAAATTGCCATAACAAAAACTTGAGAGTCGTGACTCGGATCTAGGCGTCGGAACCAAAAGTATTGACAGAAAAATTGCACTTTTAAAAATACTTAAGTTAAGCAAACTTTTAGCTTGATTTGAATTGATTCGCTATGTATACTGTTTTTATATCGTTTTGCACAAATTGCCCACACGAAATCAACAAAGAAATTTGGTATAAAAGCAAGAAAGCTTGCATCATTCACCACAATAATGCCACCTGTCACATAATACGTGGACGAATTTTTAGCAAAGCGACTATAATCAAAATAATGACCTGTTATCCACTAGCGTGGAGAACGTTGGACGACCGACACATTTCAAACTCTCTTTTGTTGGAATACATTATATATACTATCGTATTTGAATTATTTTCAAAAAGTTTTACTGAAAGCAATAAGGAGACGAAGAGATGGCTAGTGCCGAGACCCTTCTGTGAGTTTGAGGATTTATATTTCCAGCTCTCATAACTATAAAGAGAGAACTACAGTTACAGCTTCATATATATAGCCGTCATAATAATATTTTTGAAATTAGACCTCAAACTTTTCCTAACATCTTTTCCACATTTGAAGATCGCATTTAGATTTATTTTCAAGTTGGATTGTAATATCTGAACATTTAGATTCTATTCTATATTTTCTAACATTTTTACTTAATATTAGTCTACTAAAAAGAAAACCATTATTTTTCCAATAGATGCCTTTAGTAATCTGTATCTTACGTTGTATAGTTAAATGCGATAATGTTAGAATATATGGCGTTAGAAAGAGTTTTGTGATTGCTTGATCAGTATTGTTAGAGCATGCGTCAAAGATGGACATTAGAAAAACCCAAGGCAAGTGGCTGCAAATTGTTAAAAGCTATGGGAGTAAGTGAGCGTTAAGCTAAAAATGTGTTGGTAGGGAACATTTGTTGTGGAAGAGCCTTAATTTTTATTCTGTTTGGTTGTCATATCTCAAACATATGCAATAACCTTACAGTCATTGAATAAACAACATCATATATTATCATTGTGTTGGAAATGTAAAATTTTTTACCGGAAAGTGATGATTTGCGGAAAACATTCAGGGGTGTTGTGGAATCCAAGACAGATTTGCGTAGTGGTCAGAATTGCAAACCAATTCTGATTTTGATTGGTGTCACAGAATCTGATTGGATTTGCTTCTTTTCGAACATGTGCATAACCAATAGTCGAATCAGCTGTTTACTAATGTGACAAAATTTGCAAATGAATAAATTAGGAAGCGTTTTATAAATTTGAAATGCTGAATGGAGTCTACTAAAGTTTACAATGAGTTCCGCTATTTTAGCTTTTATTTTATTTGAAGAAAAGTGCAACGAAAAAAATAAAAGGAATATATTAAAAGATCACAGTAATCCACTTGATGCACCAGGGGAGTCGCATGTGAAATTTGGCTTGCATTTACTTGTATGTTTGTATACATGCTTACTTTACAGATTTATATCACATTATCGACTGAATAAAGACGCATTTGGGTTTTAAATTACGTTTGTTACGTTTTGTAAATTCTCATAAAATATCTTGATTTTTTCCATAAACTCGATAATTATGACAATTTTTGTTTTGTTCTAATGTTTTCTCCTATAGAAATAGAAATAACGATAAATTAAATCTTAACAATAATATAAATTATTTTCTTAACTTACGTTTTAAATTTGTCAGCAAAAATCCTCTGGCTTTGTTTCTGATAACAAAACCGATAAAATTTCTGTTTCGAACGTCAAACCAATAATATAATATCTGAATTCATGACACCTACTACATTTTTTTTTATCGGTTTCAATTCTGATTAAGACAAGTATCAGATTCTACAGCACCCCTGATTATTTTGGTTATAATTTATATTTTTCATTGACATTTTGCTTAACAAACAAAAATAAGTATGACTCATCTGTATTATTTTTACCGACTTATGTAAATTTCAAAATTTGGCTTTGTAGCTTTCGAAACGAATTTGGCAACATTAGGCATTAAACTAAGTTTCGGTAATGAATACGAGTATGGAAGGTTGTTTCGCCAAAATTTCAGAAAAAGCGAAATCCTACACTAGTCAAACTTCTCTTTAAGGTCATTTAACATTTGAGAGATGGCCAGCAAAAGAAGAAAAGTGAAGCAGAAAAAAGCAGGCAATGTCCAACACAATTACTAAATGACTGATTAAGCAAAGAATAATCACAAATGGTGAATTATATATGTATATGTAAATATACATATGCACACATAAAAAAAGTATGTAAATATGTATATATATGTAGTCGGTATATTCCCTTTTTAGGCAAATAACACATGCATCAATGTCACAGATGTGGCAAAAATGGCACACAATCGAAAAGAATGACAAAACTAAATATATTTTCTTTATTTGTAAGTAAGTGTGTGTGTGAACATATTTCTTGCGTAAACAAAATAAGATCTTTATGTATAAATCTAATAGTTACAAATATACGAATATGTAAGCTAAGTTTGAACACATATGTATATGTATGTACATGGAATATGGTGTAATGGCTTTATAACTGTATAATCAAAACTGGTGTAAAATTTCACAAGTGTCACAGAATAATTAATCTGCATTGATTTGCGAATTTTCAAACGTCCATATTTTATTTGCAATCAGATTTTTAGTATTTTATATAAGTACATATATATTTAATGCATAAAATTATAGATAACATATTTATATATATATAAATATATGTACATATTATACAGTTTCACCGATTTCGTATGCAGTCAAGCTGATTTCAATAAATTTCGAATTTTATGAATATGGCGGTTAGTATGTACAAAAATATGATTGTGCGTGTGTGCAACTAACGATAACGGCAACACACAGCAAAAAGGTTAGTTAAACCGAAGTTGAACAAAACGCAACGGCAAGTTAGTAAAAACAGTTAAGAGTTGTTGCTGAAAATTTGAGTGTGTCAGGGGCGCGCAAGCAGTTGGTGGCCGGCGAAGTTCGTCGGGCAAAAACAAAAAGCAATATTATTTTTTATTCACTGAGCGCGTAAACACAAACGTAAACGGTGTCGAAGCTTTGTGATATCATCGGTGATTGCTGCTGGAAACAGATTGCTCGACACACAGTCAGCAATGCACTTAAGAGATGGACGAACAATCCCACAAAAAGTCAAAAAAAGGTAAAAACAAAAAAAAAATACCAAAAAAAAGGAGAATAAAAAAAATAAAAATAAAATAAAATAAAAAAAAAATCTCTAAAAAATATTATTAAAAGGCAGCCAAATAGCAAATCGCCATCTACAACGCTACGCGTCATCAGCTAAGTGCTCTTCGGTACAGCTAGCAAGCTTGCTGTCAAATCTTCCCACTGCTATCTCGGCTATCTGCGCTGGTTTGCGCGTTTTGTTGTTATTATTGTGTTTTGCTGATGTAGTTTAATGTCGTCGCCACGCTGTATAACGTTGTTCGCTGCGCTCTGCTCTCTGCTCTCTGCCGGCATGTCATCGTTGTCATCTGCAATTGCTTTAGATGCCCTTGACTTTGGCTTTATTGGTGTCGTTATGTTTCTTTTTTACTGCAAATAGTACGAAAAAAATATGTAAAAGTGTAGCGAGCATAAGTGACGCGAAAGGAAAATATGAAAAATAAAAGACACCATCAATGAATTAGGAGTTTTTTCTCCTTGTTGGCGCCGAAAAGCGAGTTTCCAAGCTCACACACACACACGCGCGCAAACATAAAACACTAACGTGCTTAAATGCAACTTGTGCAAACTTTAGCAGCAAAGTCATAAAAACAATGAGCAAAACAAAAATAAATAAATACTACGAAAATAAGAAAAAACGTTAATTTCGGTTGCCGCAAAGCTATAATACTCCACACAGCTGCATTTCTAATAGCGTAAAAGGGTTCAAAAAGATCTTTATTTTAATTTTAATGAGTTAGTTTGTCAGCTATATGATATATAGTGGTCCGATCTGGAAAAATTGTTTGGAAATTGTAGCGTTGCCGTGGGCAATATTCTTTGCCAAATTTTGTGAAGATATCGTAAAGATACGTACATACATACATATATCGTCAAACAAAAAAGTTTTCCTTGCAAGAACTTGAGTTTGATCGGTCAGTTTGTATGACAGCTGTGGTATATGCTATAGTAGTTCGATATCGGTGATTCCAAAAAATTGGCAGATTATTGAACAGAAAAAGGTGTGTGCAAAATATCAAAAAAAAAAATAAATAAAAATGCGACGAAGGTTGAAGCAAGTGTACTTCATAAAGATTTCAGTTCGAATAGCAGCATACTAGAACTGGCGTTTTAAATAGAAATAAATTTTAGCCATCCTACGCCAAATTTTATTAGCACAACAACAATTTTGGAGAGCCACTGCGGCAAACCTGTTTAACCTTCTGTCTTAAGGCCGGCAGCAGTGCGACTTATTGCTCTTTTTTAATACATTTCTAACGCTTGACTTCGACTATTTGCAAACATTATTTTGATATTTTCTATTTTTCTTATTTCTACAATTTTTCTTAGTATTTTTTGTTTGTGTGCTAATCATGAGCAGGCGCGGCGCGTAGGCTTCCAAATTGTTTGCACAAATGTACGCATTTGAATGTCACGCATACGCCCTGCCGGCAGCTGATAGACACTCAACACTGTGATACACTCAGCACTTTATGTACGTCGGAAATGCTGTAGTGTGCACTAAAGTGTGGGAAGCGCTTGCCATTTTACAACTCAACTTGATTACAGAGTTAACTACAGGCAATTTAGTTTATAACCGCCGATAACTTTATCAATGGTTTTCGGTTTCTCATTCACTTTCGCTAGACACTCACTTGTTATGAGCGTATCGGGATCAGCTAATTCAGCATCATCGCCATCGTGTTGTTGTTGTGTCAGCTTTGAGTGCTGCTTGAGTTGCACCTTCTTGCGTAGTTTCTTCAAATAGGCTTGCTTATACTCCTCGCTGGGTTTGCCGCCCAAACCGTAACTGACTTCGAGCACTGTTAGGGGGATGACAGTCGAGGAAACGGGTACAAGATCTGCTTGAATACAAATGTTGAGGTTACTGAGGCATGGGCGGATACTAATTGATGATTTGTGTTTTCAGAGCGTGATCTGTGGCCTAAAAAGACCTTATTTCGAGGGCATTTAATAAGAAAGAAGAGAAATAGTTTACAAAAAAGGAAAAAGGAAAAGGAATTTCTACCGCATATTTTCGAGCAATGCGGAATAGCCGCAGCCATGGTTCTAGGATTTCCTGTGACCAACTCGCTATTTTCAGTAAAAATTAACTTAACAGATAGGATCAAACACTTTCAAATTGATTTTAAGAAATTGATACTTTTAATCGAACCTATTTCAAATATAGGTTAAATCAGCGACAGATTTGGTAGGGTCTTCATAAGTTAATATACGTTTCCCAAAAATGTCTGTTATATCGCGTTACAAGTAGACTAGACCTTAAAAGTATACTTCAAATATATGTAATATATAGCATAATAAATTAGAATCTATAAATATAGCAAAAGCTGGATTTAACCCATCCTAAATCAGTTTTTGACTTCGAAAATGGAGAGATAACATTAAGTTCTCTACAAAAATTGTTATCGGTATTACTAACGAACTCCTATACTCTTTTGAGACATATGTAGCAGTTTTCTTTTTTCTTTTCAGATATAGCATTTGTCTTAGTTCCTAACTAACAATATATCTGATCAAATTTTACTAGGACTGGCCGATTTGAAATGCAGAACAACGCTTGCAATTTTGTGTTTGCAATGAAATCACGGATACGGAATAATTGAAAATTTTGCCGACGTTTTTTGGAAAGTCCACTTTATCGCGATCATACGTATTTCAGTGGCACAAAGCATAAAGATATCGAAAATGGGCTCATGGGGATGAACTATCCACCACTGTTGATGACTGTAAAATCGAAAAAGTTAAAGAAACAGGGCTTGAAAATCATTGTGTTGGCATCAGACGTCAAAACTGTACAAAACTCAAGCGAATGGGGCTACAAAAATGAACCGAAACCGATAAAAGCATGTCAAAGTTCGGTCCAGAATCAAAATGATATTCATCGATTTCTTTGATTACCGTAGTGTGGTTTGGCATGAATTCGTTAGACATGATCAAATGGCCAATAGGAATACCATTTGGCCGTTTTGAGGCGTGGACCTGAGTGATTCTTTGTAAACGACCGAATTAATGGATAGAAAATTCATGGATTTTCCACCAAATCATCGCTAAGCCACCGTATTTTAGCCAGATTTGGCTCCCTGTAACTTTTTTCTGTTTTTGAAACTGAACAGCCCGCTTCAGGGAAGGCGCCATGAGTCCATAGAAGTCATTAAAAGTCATTCGCTGAAGGCACTGAAGGCCATTACTGTCGAGGCTTATAATAAGTGTTTGGAAAATCGGATTAGGCGTTGATATGCTTGTATTCGCTCAGGCCCTTATTCTGAAAGCGATAATTTAAAATACTTGAAAATGTAGTTTTTTTTTGTCAGTCCGGGTCAAATTTGATCAGATATGATTTCAATATCTTTCATTTTTTTCAATCAATATATGTCAAGTCAATATAATTTTCAAAAATCTAACAATTTAAGCTATGGAGCAAGAATAGTTTTTGCAACAATTTCTACTACAATAAATATTTTAATTTAAACAAATTTGAGATTGCCGTATCAGCGTCAGCAAAACTTCTTACAAAGTCATTTCCAAAACTAACACGAATTAGCAAACCAAATTTGGCGGCTAAAATCATCGCCGCAAATCACCGCTTGAAACATATTCGAAATCACTCAATTGAAACACCGAAAAGTAAAGCGTATTAACACATCACCTGCTTCGTATTTGTCTTGTGGATTCTTCTTGTACAGCATCGGCATGCCTTGTGCGCAATTGCAGCATTGCAACAGCAACAACAGCACAACAGCTAACCAAACAAAAGGTAATTTGTAGTTGAAACTAATCGTTTTTGTTGTCATTATGAAGGTTTCCTGCTTATTTGTATTGTAGATACGTATTTGTTTATTTGTTTATTTATATGGTTGCCTTCAATTGAATGGCTTTGGTGATTGTCTCTCTCTTATTATAAACGCAAGCAATTAAAGTTTTGATTTTATTTGGATTTGTTTCAAGTTGGTATTCAACTAAAATGCAACAAATAAACCATACACAATACACTCGTTATGTGTGTGTGTGTTTATAGAAATGCAAATATTTTCGAAACAATTTTTTAGTTGGTCCGTCCAACTGGTTTAAACGCTCGCGCACAACTGAATCGCTGACGGCGCGCGACTTGGACAACTTGTAGCGACGGCGGTCGTTTTCATGCGCTTGCAAATTTGAGACGCCGCGGTTTGGCGGTTCACTTTGCCAGACAATTCACGTTGGCTTGTTTTGTTGGCCATTATGGTGTTGCGGCATTTTACTACAAACATGCAAGTGGGTATGTAGCCATATAATTGTAAATAGAAGCAATAAGTATTTGCGCTCGTAATGTCTAAGCTGCTGCTGCTGCTGCCGTCGTAATGCTTGCCGCAAATAAAAGTGAGAGGCGTCTGACAGCGCGTTACGATTTTATTAATGCGTTAGTTAGATATGTATGTAGGGTATTTCTAGTTTTGGTTTCTGCTTTTATACAATATTGTTGTTTGAGAATTTTGAATTCATTTTATCTCTATCTTTATTTGCTTTGTTGCATAATTAGTTTCAGACTTGTTTGAGTTGTCAGTGACACAGTAATTAGCATACCTGCAGGAAATTAGGTATTTATACAGAAAATCATAACTGTAATCTTAATTTTGTGTGCTGTTTAACTCCGGTCGAAGCTATAGTACTCTTCCCAGGTGCAATCCTTATAGCATAACATAAAAGGGTAGAAAAGCAACTTGATTTTGAACGCTCAGTTTGTATGGCAGCTACCATATATGCTATAGTGATTCGATCAGAACAATTTCTTCCGAGATTGTACCATTGCCTTAAACCATTATGCGTGCCAAATTTCTAAGATATTTCGTTAAAGTTTTCCATACAAGAACTATCGTCGGTTACTCCAATGAGCAGCTTCTTGGAGAAAAGGACATGTGAAAATTTCAGATTGATATCTCAAAACTGAGGGCCTAATTCGCGTATATAAACATGGACATACTTTAAGGTAACATTTGTTTCACGGCTTCAAAAATTTTTACCGTCTTATTTAATTCTATAACATCTCTAGAATATTGTCCTAAATTTTCCAGTTATAGTTTTGGAGATACAGCTTTGAAAAGTTACGTACTCGAGGTCAGCTATATAGTCACCTAAAACTATAAACGTGATTTCTCGAAACTGTTAATCAAGTCGGTAAATTTATGAAATTTACACAGGTCTTCGCGATGTAACTTACGAGGTCCAAAATTTGATTTTTGTAAAACGTCTGCCAAAATACAACTTTACTTTATTTTTACTCAACCCAATATCTAGTTAATGGTCTAAATTCAAACACGTTTTTCTTTTACATTTGATGATCATGTCAAAATTCTCTGTAACGCGGAAGCACCTTTTTCCGAGGGACTGCCGGAAATGACGTCGTAGTGAGCGAGTTCTGAATATTTTCCTTGAAAATTTCACAAAATCTTTAGCAATACATATGTATCTTTGAATAATAAAAGTTTGAATACAATATTTAATTTTTAATGAAAATAGGGCGTTTTTGCTCTGAAGAATGTAACCCTAACGACTCATAACATCACGCTGATCATTTATTACACGACGTTGTTTTTGGTATATATATATATATATATATATATATATATATTTGGTTAAAATATTAATATACCTTTTCAGGATTTAAAACACAAAACGATAGTCAGTTTTGAGTAAAATATGATTCAAAAGGATGTGGAAAAATATTAGGATGCCAACCTATGATTGAAGTTGAGTATTTTGAATAATGCAAAGAAAATACTTGAGGGTCCAAACCACCATTTAAATAAAGATTAAAAATTTCTATCCAACCTACTATAGTACAAGTACTAGGACAATTAGCCTTTGAAACTTTAATCGCGTCTTTATGTACAAGTCCGCAAAAATTAATGTAAGTACAAAAATAAGTACTTTACTAACAAGTTTATATCGATTAAGATTCCGTTTTTATTTAGTTTCAGGCAGCCTAAGTTCCTTAGCAACACTGCGTTCGTCGAGGCCGTTTTGAAAATGGTGATTCGAAGATTGGCCCAGAAGCCGCCATTTTGCATCAATATGTCAATATTATTAGTCAAATTTTCACTCACAAACATTTTCAATAAAGCCTGAATAAGTACTTGATTTTTCTACTCTCCAAAATCAATAGTGAAATATAGGTCGCTTACTGTCTAATTTTCTCTGCAGTTAACACGTTTATTTAGTTGTATAAGATCCGCTTAATATTCGAAGTATTTACTACTTTTCAGCACTATAGATATGTCAAACCGATTAAAGGATATGACTTTATTTAACACATTAGTTCACGAGAAAGTTTTTATAGATATCATTAATTCTGAGCACTGAATCACATTGTATTAATCAAAAGCTTTTTGCATATTTTTACTGAAGTAGCAAACACTGCCCGATATATAAGGTAAATAGTCAACTACGCTGATTATATCAATATGTCATTCTTTATGGGTGCAATGGATGTAATTAATTAATGCCACCACTCTACTATACCAGCCTTTAGGAACTTTTGTATTTCAACATTTAATCTTAAAAATGATATGAATACAGCGCTAAAGCCAAAACGCCTGGAAAACTTGATATGAAATTAAAGACTAAGGATTGAAGAAAGAATACAGGTTATACAGGTTGGGAGAAGTTGGTTGCTCTCACCAAGAAATAGCACTACTATAGCCCTAATTTTTCTCAAGTTGGTACATCTAACGTGAGAACACATGCAAAGTTACAAGTCCCTTCATCAATTAATTCTATGTTTAAGCCATTATAGTTAAAGTGTCAGAGTATTTTTAATATGGCAAAATTGAATATCGCAGTGATAAGATTCTTTGTTTTGAAAGGTTTTGAAGCAAAGGAACTTCATGAACACTTGTTAGAAGTGTATAACGAGCCTCACCTTCAAATGCACCTTGAATTTTGGGATGGTGAATTTAAAGTGGTCGCTGTCTTGAAGACGATCCACGCGAAGGGCGACCAAAAGTGCAACCACACTAGAAATCATTGAGCAAGTTCATAATATCTATATAGTTCATTAGATAACTACATATTTAGGTGTTATACACATACATTTCTAAAGTCAGAAACATGTGTGATTTGAATTGAAGAGGCACATTATTTAATAAATAAATAAACATAATGTACATTTAGAGAATTTAATAAACTTTAATAATCGACGATTCTATTTTGAAAGTTTTAGATTCCTGTGATGTCGATCTCCGTAGGACCTCCAAAAAGGGTAAGTGAATAACATAACAAACAATAGTAGTAAAAGAAATTTTTAAATTTTACGAATTAAGACAAATGTCTGTAATTAAAAGGCCAAGTAATATTTCGAATAGTTCAAAATTTAAATAGACAAACTTTAATAAAGCTACATTAAAACTGTGGAGAACCTTTGTTTACACTTTCAGGGCCTTTTAGTACTGGAATTTCAAAAATCAAAATCAAAAATCTTTCAGGAAAATATTTCGTATGAAAATATACGATGAATGGTTTTAAAGTAAATTTTGTCAAATAAAATAAAATTTCATTAAGGCACATATTCAGGCAGCCTAAAAATGCGATTTTGGAATTAAAAACTACTGTATCAATTGTTTTAAAATCTTAAAGGGTATATTTATACATATTTCAAGAATACACAACAAAATATTTGAAGAAAGATTTAAAATCTGCGACGGAAGGTTTTCCACTACTGCAGTGATTCCGGTCTTCCGTAACAAAAATTTCTAGAGGATATTGTCCATGTAGTAACTTCGGTCTAAAGAGGTCAAAATTGACAAATGGTAATTTGCTCAATTTGGTCTCCAAATTCGATTTTTGATCAGACCTAAAAGAGGTAGGCCAATAGTATGGAGTACATATATACAGAACATGCAGATAAAGTGTTATAGTGATTTCCAAGTATTCAAGATACGCTGATTCAATGAGCGGATACACTTTAAAGGCTGCAACTCAAAAACTATTTGAAATATGCATTTAAAAGTTTAGTATAGCATTTTTAAGCTATGTACTATCGGAATGTGTAAAAATAAAATTAAAAGTTTCACACCATGTTATGTGTGGATTTGACAAGTGTTATGTGAACAACAAAATAACAGGGCAAAGGTATAAATAAAATTATTAAATTAACGACAAATTACCCACTAACTTAAAAAGCATAAAAATGCGTGTTTTTGTTGACCATAAAGAAATGAAAAATTTAAATAAAAAATACCTACAGCACGGCTATTAAAACGTATGCTGCAATATTACATAAAATAAACAGACTTTATTTTCGCAAATAAAATATTCTATGGCAGAATTACAACAACATAACAACCTGTCAGACAATAGAAAATCAAATACAGTATATGCAAATGTCATGCAGAAAATTATCTGAAAATGAAAAGCAAATCAGCAAAGCTGAAATTGAACAAATATGCAAACGCACATAACCATATGTGGTAGTAAATATGGTATATGTTTACATGTATGTAGGCAAAATAAACGCATTGGATAAAAGTGAATCGCATTTAACGGTAGAAGAAATAAACAATAAGCGAAAGTGAAACATGTGTAGAGTGCAATTATATTAATAATTCAAAAACATACACACACACATATATACGCATCCACATGTATAGTGGTTTGTGCGGATGTGTCTATTTGTAATTGCTGGCATGACGATTTTATAGCCAATGGCATTTAACGTACCCGATAAACATAACCATTTGTGGATTTGCAATACAAAATGTAAATATGTATGAAGGTATGTTAATAATTATATATCAGTAATGCTCAGCAAACGGATAACGTGAGCGTTTAAATCGAATGAGCGTTAAATGGATGGAATATACTCGTATTAAATAGTTATGATATGAAGTGAATGAATTTATACATATGTACATAGGTGTGTACGTAAAACAATTTGTTAGGCATACATACATACATTTTTGTAAAGATACTATAGTGAAGTAAATATACTATATAAATATATACATATATACCATATATAAAGATACATAAAAATATTTTTTATGTGGATACCTAAGACGTTTGAAATCTTACGAGCATGACAGATATTCGACATGGCGTGCAAAAATAGCATTAGGGTGGTTCATTAAGACAAAAAAAAATTTAACG